GATGTGTCTGATCTTTAACAAGGTGGCAACCTCCTGTTTGGTAAAATCACGCCGTTCGGCCGCCTGATATTTTTTTTCTGTTGAACTGGCTTGGCGTCAAGCCGAACGGCCAGTTTATGGCATATTATTTTCGGGTCAATGCCCGACATGTCTTCTGGTCCTCGTGCGAATAACATCTGAAACTTCTTTAGAACTGCAATTACACCCTCCCGAATTTCAGCTTCTAGGTCCACCCCGATCGCTACTTTGCGGTCGAGGGGAGAATCAATATCGATATGCTCCAAGAGAGTAGCCGGTACATGGTGTGATTCAAACTCGGTTCGGTGAGTCTCGACCTCAATGTTGTTTACCTGCATTCCTCGGGTATTCATCTTTTTCAAAGCCTCCCGATAGCAAGTCCATGCTGTCACCGGATCTGTCCGGGCTACTCCAACCCCAGTATCCATCGGGAATTTTACGCATGAATGTCGGACAGAAGCTATCGTCTCCAGATCTTCCAATCCTGGTCAGCCCAAAATGGCGTTGTGGGCACATTTGATGTCCACCACAACAAACGTCATTCAGACCGATGCCTTATGGGCTTCATCCCCAATTTCAACCAGCAAATGGATAGTTCCCTCTGCCTCAATGCAGTTCCCAGTAAAGCTCGCAAGTGGTGTCTTCAGGTGGGTCAGCTGATTCCTCTGCAGCCCCATCTTCTCGAACGATTGTAAGTACAACACGTTCACACTGCTCCCTGTGTCTACCAACACCTGTGCGGACTTGGTGAATTGGGCCAATCTGCAGGTCCGAACGTGATCTGCTCCATTCTTCCTTTCTTTTGGGGGGGGGGGGGGGGGGGGACACGGATCCCATATAGAGGCTTCGTTCGAACTTTTTTCGTTCGGCAGTTAAATCCCCTGTTTCCCCGCCCCCGAATATCACCTTCACCTCCATCCTAGGCTTTTTTCCCAGGTTCCCCGAACCCTCTGGTTCGCCTCTGGGGGTAACGTAGACATCATTCCTGGGCTGAGCATCACGTTGATCATCCCGTCTCCAGCTGTTGGGGTTTCTTGAATTGCTTCGGGAGGCCTACAGCACTCGGATCCTTGTTCACGTATTTGTCCAAATGACCCTGCTGGATCAGTTCTTCGATATCTATCTGTAATGCTCGGCAGAAATGGGTGGGGTGACCCTTCCGCTTGTGGTACTTACGGAAGGCATTCTCATCTGATCTCATGTAAGATTTGGTATCAGTTGGAAGGGGAATGTTGTCCTTCTCCTGCTGAAAAATTGTCGCAATGGAAAGGACGAGCGGGGTGAAGCGATGACAATTATTCAATTCATTCTTTGTAAGTTCCTACTTTTTAATTAATGACAATTATTTCTATTCTTCCCAATTCTATTGATTCTTCAATTATGAGTCAGGAGTAGTTTTAATTAGGAATTTGGAATTGATGAAGGGGTTAATCACGATGTATGTCTAGTTTATTGACGGATTAATTGCATGAATGTCGTTTAATTTGTGTTTGAACAATTTAATTGCTATCTTTTGTAACCTAGAACCACGGCTAGACTTACAATTGCTTGTAGAATAAATTAAGAGAGATCTAGTTTATTCTAGGACACATTCACACACACTTAATCGTTCGTTAAGAGATTAGTAACGATTAAGGGGCCGTAAGCTCACTCGTTTTGGCAATAATTTAGGATCCTGTCGCATGAGAGATCAAACTGGTCCCCTAAATTATTGTACTCTACGCCGCAAGCGCGCTAAGAACTTAGTATTGATTAGCTAGGCTCAATTAAATTAATTTCATGTAATTAAGTCTGATCTGCCAGAAATCTGATTACCCCGGAATCAATCCATGTTCACTTCTTCATTAATTAAGAAAAACCCAATCAATTATTTTTATTCGCTCATTCGCATTAATTTATTTTCCAAAAAAATTCAATCTTGCACAATTGCATTTTATTTTATTTTATTTCTTTTTAATCGCTGAATTTAATTAATTCTTGATTTCCTTTTGTCTGTCCCTGTGGAGACGATACTCGTACTTACACCACTATTCTACCATCAATTTAAGTGCGAGAAAACTAACATCAGTTTTCTTGTGCGTGGCGTCCGTGCGTCCGACAGACTTGTGCGTAAAAACGTTGGACACACGCGTGCGTCCCCCCACGCACGCGTGCTTGGCGGCCAGTGAGTTTTCCGGCCTATCAAGTCCGAATTTGACAAAACTTCCTTCATGAAAGTTGGGTTAGGCCTTGAGTCTCAAAATGCTAACCCTTTACAATGAGATTAGAGCTCATATTTATACTAATAAAAGGGGATGGGGGTGATGACGTGACGGAATCTGACTTGCTGCCGTTCTCGAGCCACTTGGATGCCCATACTCCCACAGTCCCACTTGCTGACGCCATACCCTAGCATTAAATGCCCCTTGCCACTTGCAGGCTACCCGTTCGGGCTTCAGAACGATGCCCATGCTACTATCATTATTAATCTGGCCCAAGTTACCTGCATGACCCGATCCCCATTCGGGGTATAAAACACCGAATGATAGTGCTAGGGGTAGCCTATAGGGAGTATGAGCATCCAAGTGGCTCGAGAACGGTAGCAAGTAATATTCCGTCACATCATCACCCCTATCCCCTTTTATTAGTATAAATAGGGGCTCTAATCTCTTTGTAAAGGGTTAGCATTTTGAGACTCAAGGCCTAGAATAGCTTTATCCCTTGAGTTCTCCGATGTGGCATAAAACACACTAGAAACCCATCATTTTCCTAGTTTTTCCATTTCAACGAGTGAACTTCGAGAATCAATTTCTCATTCACCCGTTATCCGTTTTGAGCGTACCATATATCGAATTGTAGCCCTTAACAAGGACAATCCGAAACCACTTTGACCTGACCCAAATCGGAAGTGGACCCCACTCAAATAATTGCCCCAAAATGACCATTTAATGCAATGTTTAACACATTTTTCCAACATACTCGACCTAGAACTCAAGAGGTAGTTTCTAGGATGTTGCGAAATATAGGCATACTCGGTCGAGTATTGCCAATACTCATTTGATCTTCTCCCTTTTGCACATTCTTTGGTCTTTAGGATCCATCCTTTGATTCTTGGGATGATTTTGACCTGTCCAAAGCTCAAAATAATCCTAATCTAAATAAATTACAAATAATATAACAAACTAAAGTTTTACTCTAAAAGTGTGTAATTTCCAACGTATCAAACAACAAAACTAACTTAAAACATAAATATACACATGGAAATTACAAAGGTATCACACGGGGACAACTCGCGCTACTCAAATTTCTTGATCAAGGAAAGGTCGTTTAACATATTCTCAATCGCCTCATCATCCCGCGAGCGTCCTCTGTTCTTAATAGACGGGACCATGGCAATGGCTTCCTCCACTGTTTCTGGGTAGAGGTTTCCGAAAACACATAGCTCAAACTCAGTAAGTTGATACCTACTCAAGATTTCCCGAACTTTTCTGACTGCATCCGGGTTCTTGTATCGACTAAAACGCCGAACGTACTAGAGCGACTTCTCAAAGACTCGAGACATATGATTTGATGGATCCTCAAACATCTGTTGAAACTGCTCATACTTGTGTTCAAGAATCAAAGAAACTTCACAGTTCATCAGGCACTTGGCCTTGAGATACTCATCTCCGATCTTAAGCTCCGTGGCTTTCTTTCTTTCTGAAAATGTGAGTCGTTACTGTGATGATTGAAAATAGTGTCATTAATAGTAAATACGGTTATTTAAAGTAATATTAAAAAAGAAAAATGGACCCGGATGATATTACAATATTTTTAAATTGTGACTTGTGGCAGTCGTACTGGAGCGACTTCACAGCACATTGTGACTTGTGCAAGGGTAAAATGGATATTCAAAGTAATTTTATTTATTTCAATTTAATTAAGTGGCTGTATTTAAATTTATGTACATAGTACTCTCTCCGTCTTTTAAAACTTTGTCAACTTTCCTTTTTTGGACGTCTCACTAACCTTGACGCTTTCCCTTTAAAGTAAAGAATTTGTGGTTCCAATTAATTTTCAATCATCTGCACAAACTTCAATCACACAGTTTTTACTTTATTAATCCCTGTGCCGATCAAACCTGGCAAAGTTTTAAGTGACAGTAATATAATACTCCTACAACAAATTTCTCCAGAAACCCTAAACCTTTAGCCCGTGAACTCCACTCCCACTCTTCTAACCGCAGCCTGTTTTACGTGCCGCCTTACCTGTGATCCCTCAGCCACAACTACGCGGCTCATTAACCTTTCCGTCCCTTAGGGCCTGTTTGGATTGGATGTTAATGGGTGTTAGTAATGGAAGTGTTAAGGAGTGTTTAGTCTAACACTTGTTTGGGAGAGAAATTAATTTTTTTAAGGGTGATAGTAAGTGTTTGAGGGTGTTACCATATATTTACCATTTTTTAAACACTCCAATTTGGGGTGTAATGAGGTGTTGGACAACTTTTGCCCTTATTATTTCAAAATCTACTCATCACCAACATCCTCTACTATTTCTTCCGCACCAGACGGTTCTCCTTCTTCACTCCTGCGGCTCCAGCAGAGATTGTTCTCCTTCTTGAGGTTTGTCCCTTTTTCTTCATCCTTTTTCGATTTTTTCACTCAGTACATGCTATTAGAAGAACGGATGGTGGCCAAAACCTCATTTACGAGAGAATGAATCACGCAGAGTACTGCTCATATCGCAACTTCGATTTTCGTTTTGTTTTAGCTGATAGAGTCTGATTCTGGGTTAAAATTGACCTGTCTGTGAAACTCATTACTGTTCATTCCCGACTCTATTGGGTTGGGCGGCCATCTTCCATGTCTGCGAAACAGGAGTTCATATAAATGGATGAACTCCGTATGTTATGCTTGAGTATTGATAAATATAATATGTTATACTATCGTATATAATATGTTATACTATCGTATATATACATTTTTTTAACCCGGAAGGTAAACCACCAAAATCAGTGGGGCAAATATCGGGGAACATTTTCCATTGTTTTATTAATGAGAATGAATTACAAAAGAAAGGGGGACTAGGCCAACACCTTCCTATAAAGGCATACCTCTAAGAAATATGAACAAGGCATGAGAAAGCAAATGAAAAGATAAAAAGGTGAAAATTGGGGGGACTGTACCTTACCCAATAAAATACAATGGGAAAAATAAAAACCAGATCTGAATTAGGAAACCCTAAAATTAGGCAACCCATTCGCTTAAAGAGCAATGGTTCCTCGAACCCGAATAGGCAAGTGAGCAGCCAGGTAGAAAATTGTTGGTCTTCCATTTTCGTTCGCAATTTGTGCTATATGATGTGCAGCCTCGTTACATTGTCTGTAGCAGTGCGAGAAGTTGAGATTAAAACGCTTGGCAAGGCAAACGATGGGATTAACCAAGTGAGAGTATCTCGGCTTATCTGAGTTTCGTCGGAGAAGGGAAACAGCCGCAAGAGAATCAGATTCCACTTCCAAATCTTTGAAACCACCCTCAGTAATCCAGTGAATCGCAACAAAGGTGGCCATTAATTCAGCTTCAAGAACCGAGGAAGCTTTGAGGGGGAAAGATCCAGCCAAAATAAAAGCACCTCAGACATCTCTTAGGATGGCACCACCAGCGGAAGATTTATGATTATAGGCAACATCAACGTTCAGCTTAAAGGTGTGTTTAGGCTTCTTCCAATTTAATTTAAGATAACTAGGAGAGTAATTTTTCTTATCTATGGGTAGAAGACCTTCAGAGATAAGAAAATCAGGATCAGTTCGTCCTTTAGGGAAATAAAGCCCGACAGTCCATTGATAGATAAAGGTGCGAATAGCTCTTGTAAGAGAATCCATGTTAAAGCAGGTAGCATTTGTATCCCAGGTTAAATTTGCATAGCTTTTCCAAATATGCCAAGTAATGATTCCTGGGAGACAGTGCTTGTAAATATCATAAATGCTTTTAGTTCTTGCTTCAAGCCACCAGACAAAACAAATCTGTCTATGAGAAACATTCCAATTTGGAATCCAAATTGAAAAAAGACCCATGTATCAGTCCTAAATAGGCTTAATTTTAAGGCAATTATAGAAAATATGGGTGTAACACCGTCTCCAAGTATATTTACTTTTTAGTAAAACATGTAATAAACCTTGAATAATGATTTATGAATTTACGAGGTTGTAAATTTTGTTGATTACTTTGCGTGAATAGTGAATCGCACGCGGGCCCACATCGGGAGCGGGGACCACCCGATAACCCCCGGACCACATATTATATTCATCTTGGTCTAGATAATATTTATATGATGGTACATATTTTAGTTGGGCCATAATAAGGGCATAGGGTTGACCCGTTGGTCAAACGAGGTCCAATTACCGGTATTGGTAATTTATCGGATATCAGCCCGAAATGAATTTCGGAGACTTCTAAATTAAAGATGGGGGATTAATAATTATTCTAAGGGTCCATAGTGATTGAAATCACACATTATATTTTATTTGACCCGATAAAATAAAGTATAATTAAAACAGTCCGAGAAATACAACTTTTGGGGCCGAATGTACATTTCGGGACAAGTTGGGATGACCTCCCACATGAGTGGGGGCCACCCCACGTTTTTTTGTGCTCAAGGTTGACAAAGAGGGGCTGCATTATGGGAGAGGAGTGGTTGAGATGAAGAGCATCTAAATAAAATAGGGGTGGGCCTTTCCACCCACACCACACATGCTATTGAGACAAAAAGGACACTCCCACCCTCTTCCCTTGATCAGTTCGGCCAACCCACCCCAATCAGAAGCAAGAACCCTCCATCTATCATCCTCCATAGCCAAGAACAAGCTCAAACAAGGGTGGTTCAAAAGAAGGGGGATTAAGAAGGAAAAAGTGAGGAAAACTTGGATAATTAAGGTATTCACCTTATAATAACTTTTCCCTTACTTTTTACTTATCATATGAATTATATATCATATGGAAGACCCCTAGAATTTGTTCTACATGTTTAGAGGTGTAGAATGAGGGGTTGGAAGGTAGTTCTAAGTCCAAGAACGGACTTAGAAGCCAATATGACCGGTTCGCCGGAAAATAACCTTTTGGAGGTTATTTGTATTGATATGAGTTTTGTGATGATAAAACCATATTAGGAGCTTGACTAAAGTGTTTCTAGAGTTCGCCGGAGTTTCGTCGGAGTTCGTCGGAGTTTCGCCGGAGTTCGTCGGAGTTTCGCCGGAGTTCGACTAAGAAGTGTAGAATCTTTTTAAAGCTTATTTGAGGTGAGTGGATGGCTTAATGTCTTGTAACTTTTGGGTTAAGCATGAGATTTCCTAAGTAAATGTTATGTGTGTTCATAATAATGTTTAAATGAATTAAACATGTGATTAGCCAACTAAAGTGATTAGGCTTGTATGAAGTGAACTATTGAAATATGCATGATTTATGAAGTGAAATGCCTATAAAAACACATGTGATATGTTTAGAGATGAAATGTGCATACAATGGTTATTTATAACTTAGTACATGTTGTGACTAAGTTTGACACACATTGGATTTGAACGGCGGGTCAACCGAGAGTTGACCGGCGCCGGTTTGGCCTTACTTTACCTATTTAATAATTTTAATGCATGAATTGCATGGATAATTTTGCTTAGGCCTTAAGACTTGGTATAGTCTTGTTTATTGATTATGATATAGGCCCTATCTAGTATGATATATGGTAGATCATAGGACGGGTGGAGTACCCAAGGATCGAGCGGTATCCTCCAAACTCGGTTATATAGGGTGGAGTACCCAAGGATCGGGCGGTATCCTCAAAACTCGGTTGTATAGGGTGGAGTACCCAAGGATCGGGCGGTATCCTCAAAACTCGGTTATATAGGGTGGATTACCCAAGGATCGGGCGTGTATCCTCAAAACTCATAGATTACTGTTTAGTAATTCAGGACCGAGCGATGTCCTTATGATTATTTGTTTGGACAGGAGGAGTCCTATACACTCATAGGTCTATGGGTGGGTTGGGGGTTTTAAATCATGGACATTGACTACTACTACCTTCCCAATTAAACAATGACCTACGGGTCGGGTATTTCCAAGTGTATATAAGCACCGATATGTATTTTGTAACTTGGGGTAAAGAAGTATAACTATATGTATCACCCTATGTTTGGGTCTTATACTTGAAACGTTAGTTACTCTACATTTAGATTGCTACTCGCTCGGTACTTGTACTGACCCCTTCGGGGGCCCCCACCATTTCAGGTTGAAGCTAGGGCCTGTTGTCTACACCTTTGCACAGGTGGAAAGAATCTAGAGGAAGACGTGGTTCGTGCTTCCTTTATTATTTTACATCATAAACTATGCTCACGGATACTTTTGTAATATTACATTGTTTTGGCCTGCGAGCCTACGTTTTGCCATATGTGGCTTATGATTGACCGTTGAATATTTTCCGCTATTCATTCAATCTATGATGTGATGTTGTTATGCATGTTTACTACTGAGTATGGTGTGAACGATGTTCATGAACGCCTTGTGTGATTATGTGAGGTTGACTTGCGAGTGACGTCACTTAATCACACGGTGGTTATACACGCGCTCAGATGCGGTCTGGGGCGTGACAATTAAGTGGTATCAGAGCTATCTCAGTTCTAAACTATGTATTCAACCTCTCACATGAGATTTTACAAAAAGATTTTCACCGAAAACCATGAGCATTGTATTTTGACGTTTATAGGACTATTGTTACCTACCTACGTTGCAAGGTCTCTAGTTGTTAAGATCGTACCCTTAACAATTGGTATGGCGGTGACTTGGGCCAATACGTGTCTATAACGTTTTCCATCAGTTGACATTGATTGGACTCTAATGACTCGTTCCAATTCCTTTTCAGAAATGGAAGGTAGACGTATGCCGACAAGAAACAATCCGGGGGGGCCAACACCGGTAGCTTCTATTGGAGCTAGCCGGGCCGCATCTCGAGGCTCAAGAGGTCGAAGAGGAGGCCGTGGAAGTCGTGGAGGTCGTGGGGGCGATCGTGCCCAAACTGTGAGCGAGGGTCATGTGAGTTCGATGTATGAAACTAACACCGAGAACCATGACTCAACTTATGTTCCCGAGACGGGACATGAGGAGACCCCATATGACGGGGGTGATTTCCACACCGATGATGAACACAATGATGAGAGCAATGCCCGATTTGCTCAAATGGGGGAATTGCTTGAGTGGTATCAAAGGGAGAAACAAAGAAGGGACCTTAGGCGCCAAGCGAGGCGTGACTCTCAAAGAGGTTCGGGTCAAGGAAGCCGGGGGGCTTCAAGGGCCGCTGCAGGAGTGTCCCAAGGTGGGCACGAAGGAGATTTTTGTGTTAGAATCTCCAAGTACCTCAAAGAAGCAAGGGCTTTGGGGTGCAAATCCTTTGACGGCACCGGAGATATCACCGTTGCCGCCGATTGGATAAAGAAGGTTAAGGATGCCGCAAGAGACATGCAAATCACCCCCGACGTGAAGTTGACTATTGCTTCACGCTTGCTTGAAGGAATGGCTTCTACATGGTGGGAAGGTGTAGAAGGAAAGTACCGCGGGACAGTCTCATGGGAAAATTTTGAGCAAGATTTCTACGCTCAATACTACTCCGACTACGAGGTAAATGTGAAGCGTAGGGAATACACAAATCTCAAGCAAAAGGAAGGTACCACAGTTAAACAATTGGAGCAAGAGTTTAGAACCTTGGCTAGATTCTTACCTGAGTATGCGGCCGATGAGGACCGCATGACCGAACACTTTTGGGACGCTTTGTTGTTGGACATCCGTGATCGGGCCACATACTCACGTAACATGACCTTTAGTGAGGTGGTAGAGCAGGGTCTTCTTGGGGAAACCCAATGGAATGAGAGAAAGGCAAGAGACACCGAGGAGGCGAAGAAGAGGAAATGGAGCAATCCGGGGCAACCCGATCAATCGTGGAAGAACAACCACGGTGGTGGTGGTTCACTTAGACCCCCGGCGCCACCGACAAAGAAGAATAAAGATGCAAGGTGGCACGGACCTAGGCCACAGAATTCGGGGGCACCTAGATGCCCCCAATTGCACCAAACAGCACTTTGGGAAGTGCAATGAACCACCGAGGTGTTTCAAGTGCGGGAATGCGGGCCATATGAAGGCCAATTGCCCTCAATTGACACAAGGAAATGCATCGGAAACCGGAGGAGGGGCCATGACAGGGAGGAACCGTGCAGGACCGTCACACGGTGGCACGGGAAGAGGCGGTGCGTCAACGAGCAACGCCGCATCCGTTAACCAAGGCGGGGCCCAAGCAAGGGTCTACGCGATGACCGAGGCCAATGCTCGGGCCAACCCTGACTCCGTTGCAGGTAATCCCTTGTTAATGCTTGATAAAATACGTGTATTAATGTGTTAAAAGTGATGGCGGGGTTTTACGGGCCGGCCGGTGACTTTACCGGTCGGTTTCTAAGTAAAAGGAGCAAGAGAAAGGGGAAGGGGGTGCCCAGGGCCCAACCGGCGCCGTTCCCCGGCCAACTGGCGCCGGTCGTAGCGTCCAAAATGCTACTGGCAACCACGCACGCGTGCGTGAGAAGGGACGCACGCGTGCGTGAAAAGGGACACACGCGTGCGTCCCCCATTTTTGAGCCAACCGGCGCCGTTCGTTGCGTTAAAACACTCTTTTACCCTACTGCCACCCACACACGCATGCGTGGGAAGGGACGCACGTGTGCGTACCCCATTTCCGACAAAAAAAAACGGCCCAACCGGCGCCGGTTAGGCCCAGAACCGGCGCCGGTCCAATCCAATTTGGAAAAACAAATTTTTTTTAGCCCGTTTCTGATTCGGTACTTCGAGTAGGGTGTATTACATCATCTGTAAATGTAGGAACACTCTTGATCAATGGAAGAAACGCAAGAATTCTCATTGATACCGGGGCGCAACGTTCTTTCGTGAGCGAAGCGTTTGCCGAAGGTCTTGACGTGCCATTGACGCCGATGACTCAGACCTTGTTAGTCTCCACACCGTTAGGAGATGATGTGGAGAGGGACCACTATTATGAATCGTGTGAGGTAGAAGTGACGGGTCAACCCTTGACTTGTGATTTCGTACCTCTAAGTATGTTGGAGTTTGATGCGATCCTAGGGATGGATTGGCTCGAAAAGCATCATGCTAGAGTTGATTGCTACACCAAGGTCTTAGAGCTTGAGGATGATGAGGGAAACACCATACGATTCGAGGGAGATCGAGGGAGATCTCAAAGTTGTATCATATCCGTGATGAGAGCACGGAAGATGATAAAGAAAGGTTGCCACGCGTACCTTGCTTACGTGGTAGATGAGACAAAGAAGGAGGTCGACATCAACGATGTACGTGTCGTGTGTAAGTACCCGAACGTCTTCCCCAAAGACTTATCGGGGCTTCCACCCGATAGAGAGATCGAGTTCGTGATTGAAGTTGAGCCGGGAACTAAACCCATTTCGATTCCTCCTTATCGAATGGCACCGGCGGAACTTCAAGAGTTTAAAGTCCAACTACAGGAGTTATTGGATAACGGGTTCATTAGACCTAGTCATTCACCGTGGGGAGCACCGGTACTCTTCATGAAGAAGAAAGATGGTACACTAAGAATGTGTATAGATTACCGACAGTTGAACAAAGTCACGATCAAGAATAGGTATCCTTTACCGAGGATTGATGACTTGTTTGATCAACTGCGGGGGGCTATGGTGTTCTCTAAGATTGATTTGAGATCGGACTATCATCAGTTGAAAATCAAAGAGAGAGACATACCAAAGAGTGCTTTTCGCACTAGATATGGTCACTACGAGTTTCTTGTGATGTCATTTGGTTTAACCAATGCACCGACGGCATTCATGGACTTGATGAACCGTGTGTTCAGTGAGTACTTAGATCAGTTTGTGATTGTATTCATTGATGACATCTTGATATACTCGAGAGACGAAGAAGAACATGCACATCACCTAAGGCTTGTGCTTGAAAGGCTAAGAGAGAAGCAACTCTTTGCCAAGTTCTCAAAATGTGAATTTTGGCTTAAAGAGACTGGCTTCCTCGGACATGTCATATCCGGATCGGGCGTTGCGGTGGACAATGCAAAGATAGAAGCTATCATTGATTGGGAACGACACAAGAATGTGAAAGAGATACATAGTTTCCTTGGCCTAGCTGGGTACTATCACAAATTCGTGGAAATATTCTCCGTGTTGGCGTCACCACTTACGAAGCTCACGAAGAAGGGGACTAAGTTCGTATGGGACGACAAGTGTGAGAAAGGGTTTCTTGAACTAAAGAAACGACTCACCGAGGCACCAGTTCTTGCTCTACCCGTACAAGGGATAGGGTATGATATCTATAGTGATACTAGCATCCAAGGGCTTGGATGTGTACTGATGCAAAACGGGAAGGTAATTGTCTATGCTTCTAGACAATTGAGGAAACATGAGGTTAACTACCCTACCCATGACCTGGAGTTGGGAGCGGTAGTGTTTGCACTAAAAATTTGGAGGCATTATCTCTACGGGGAGACATGTCACATCTACACCGATCATAAGAGCCTGAAGTACGTATTCACTCAGAAAGAGCTGAATATGAGGCAAAGGAGATGGATGGAGTTGATCAAGGACTATGACTTGATCATCGACTATCATCCCGGTAAGGCGAATGTGGTGGCCGATGCACTGAGTAGGAAGAGTACGTCGGGGGCGTTACTCACGTGCCTACAGGCATCAAGGGCACGCGTGGAGGTGACCACGAGCGGGGCCCTCATAGCAAGATTTGATGTTAGACCTACCTTGATGGATGAGATTAGCAGATGTCAGAGCATTGATGAAGAATGTCAGAAGATCCGCGAACGGATCACTGCAGGACCCGTTTAGGATTTTCGGGTACAGGAGGATGGTCTTTTGTTGTTTAAGGATCGTATATGTGTACCGAAGAATGAAGAGCTCCAAAAGTCCATACTAGAGGAGGCTCATTCCTCGACTTATGCTATGCATCTAGGGGGTACAAAGATGTACCAAGACTTAAAGGAAAGTTATTGGTGGTCAGGCATGAAGAGGGACATTGCAGAGTATGTGAGTCGGTGCCTTACTTTTCAGCAAGTTAAGGCAGAGCATCAGCACCCGGCAGGGCTTTTGCAGCCACTTACCATTCCAGAATGGAAGTGGGAACATATGACAATGGACTTTGTGGTAGGATTACCACGGACGGTGAACAACTACGATACAGTGTGGGTGGTGGTTGATAGACTTACCAAGAGTGCACACTTTTTGCCTATCAACATCACTTATCCCCTTGAGCGATTGGCCAAGTTGTACACGGAGGTGATTGTGAGGTTACATGGAGTTCCAATATCCATTGTCTCGGATAGGGACCCACGATTCACATCCAGGTTTTGGCCAAAGTTCCAAGCATCATTGGGAATTAAACTGAAGTTTAGCACAGCGTTTCACCCTCAGATGGATGGACAATCCGAGCGGGTGATACAGATTTTGGAATACATGCTTAGGGCATGTGCTTTAGAGTTCCAAGGGAGTTGGGACAAACATTTGGCTTTAGTAGAGTTTGCCTATAACAACAGTTATCAGGCGAGTATTGGCATGCCCCCATATGAAGCATTGTATGGGAGGAAATGCAGGACACCATTATGCTGGGACGAGGTTGGCGAGGCCAAACTCGAAGGTATAGAACTTGTTGAGATCACCAAGGATAAGGTGAAGATCATTCGAGATAGACTTAAGGCTGCCCAATATCGGCATAAGAGCTATGCCGATAAACGACGTAGGTCGTTAGAGTTTGCAGTTGGGGATGAGGTGTTTCTAAGGATTTCTCCTTGGAAAGGTATCATCTGATTCATATCGAGGGGTAAGCTTAACCCCCGATACATTGGTCCGTTCGAAATCCTTGAAAGGATTGGGGCCGTGGCTTACCGTCTCAAGTTATCACCTGAACTTGAGAAGATTCATGACGTGTTCCATGTATCGATGCTCAAGAAGTATGTACGAGATCCGTCACATATTCTTGAGAGACCACCAGTAGAGATCCGAGAGGACTTACAATATGCAGTGGAACCGGTGAAGATAGTGGGTCAGCATGTAAAGAAGCTTAGGAACAAGGAGATTCCTATGGTGAAAGTACTTTGGAGGAGTGATCGAGTCGAAGAAGAAACCTGGGAGACCGAGGTCTCAATGAGGGAGCAATACCCGTTTCTTTTCGATTAGACACGTGATTTCGGGGACGAAATCCCAAATAAGGGGGGGGGGGTGAACTTGTAACACCGTCTCCAAGTATATTTACTTTTTAGTAAAACATGTAATAAACCTTGAATAATGATTTATGAATTTACGAGGTTGTAAATTTTGTTGATTACTTTGCGTGAATAGTGAATCGCACGCAGGCCTACATCGGGAGCGGGGACCACCCGATAACCCCCGGACCACATATTATATTCATCTTGGTCTAGATAATATTTATATGATGGTACATATTTTAGTTGGGCCATAGTAAGGGCATAGGGTTGACCCGTTGGTCAAACGAGGCCCAATTACCGGTATTGGTAATTTATCGGATATCAGCCCGAAATGAATTTCGGAGACTTCTACATTAAAGATGGGGGATTAATAATTATTCTAAGGGTCCATAGTGATTGAAATCGCACAGTATATTTTATTTGACCCGATAAAATAAAGTATAATTAAAACAGTCCGAGAAATACAACTTTCGGGGCCGAATGTACATTTCGGGACAAGTTGGGATGACCTCCCACATGAGTGGGGGCCAGCCCACGTTTTTTTGTGCTCAAGGTTGACAAAGAGGGGGTGCATTATGGGAGAGGAGTGGTTGAGATGAAGAGCATCTAAATAAAATAGGGGTGGGCCTTTCCACCCACACCACACATGCTATTGAGACAAAAAGGACACTCCCACCCTCTTCCCTTGATCAGTTCGGCCAACCCACCCCAATCAACAACAAGAACCCTCCATCTATCATCCTCCATAGCCAAGAACAAGCTCAAGCAAGGGTGGTTCAAAAGAAGGGGGATTAAGAAGGAAAAAGTGAGGAAAACTTGGATAATTAAGGTATTCACCTTATAATAACTTTTCACTTACTTTTTACTTATCATATGAATTATATATCATATGGAAGACCCCTAGAATTTGTTCTACATGTTTAGAGGTGTAGAATGAGGGGTTGGAAGGTAGTTCTAAGTCCAAGAACGGACTTAGAAGCCAATATGACCGGTTCGCCGGAAAATAACCTTTTGGAGGTTATTTGTATTGATATGAGTTTTGTGATGATAAAACCATATTAGGAGCTTGACTAAAGTGTTTCTAGAGTTCGCCGGAGTTTCGTCGGAGTTCGTCGGAGTTTCGCCGGAGTTCCTCGGAGTTTCGCCGGAGTTCCTCGGAGTTTCGCCGGAGTTCGTCGGAGTTTCGCCGGAGTTCGACTTAGAAGTGTATAATCTTTTTAAAGCTCATTTGAGGTGAGTGGATGGCTTAATGTCTTGTAACTTTTGGGTTAAGCATGAGATTTCATAAGTAAATGTTATGTGTGTTCATAATAATGTTTAAATGAATTAAACTTGTGATTAGCCAATTAAAGTGATTAGGCTTGTATGAAGTGAACTATTGAAATATGCATGATTTATGAAGTGAAATGCCTATAAAAACATATGTGATATGTTTAGAGATGAAATGTGCATAAAATGGTTATTTATAACTTAGTACATGTTGTGACTAAGTTTGACACACATTGGATTTGAACGGCAGGTCAACTGAGAGTTGACCGGCGCCGGTTTGGCCTTACTTTACCTATTTAATAATTTTAATGCATGAATTGCATGGATAATTTTGATTAGGCCTTAAGACTTGGTCTAGTCTTGTTTATTGATTATGATATAGGCCCTATCTAGTATGATATGTGGTAGATCATAGGACGGGTGGAGTACCCAAGGATCAGGCGGTATCCTCAAAACTCGGTTATATAGGGTGGAGTACTCAAGGATCGGGCGGTATCCTCAAAACTCGGTTGTATAGGGTGGAGTACCCAAGGATCGGGCGGTATCCTCAAAACTTGGTTATATAGGGTGGAGTACCCAAGGATCGGGCGTGTATCCTCAAAACTCATAGATTACTGTTTAGTAATTCAGGACCGGGCGATGTCCTTATGATTATTTGTTTGGACCGGAGGAGTCCTATACACTCATAGGTCTATGGGTGGGTTGGGGTTTTTAAATCAAGGACATTGACTAGTACTACCTTCCTAATTGAACAATGACCTACGGGTCGGGTATTTCCAAGTGTATATAAGCACCGATATGTATTTTGTAACTTGGGGTAAAGAAGTATAACTATATGTATCACCCTATGGTTGGGTCTTATACTTGAAACGTTAGTTACTCTACATTTAGCTTGCTACTCGCTCGGTACTTGTACTGGCCCCTTCGGGGGGCCCCACCATTTCAGGTTGAAGCTAGGGCCTGTTATCTACACCTTTGCACAGGTGGAAAGAATCTAGAGGAAGACGTGGTTCGTGCTTCCTTTATTATTTTACATCATAAACTATGCTCACGGATACTTTTGTAATATTACATTGTTTTGGCCTGCGAGCCTACGTTTTGCCATATGTGGCTTATGATTGACCATTGAATATTTTCCGCTATTCATTCAATCTATGATGTGATGTTGTTATGCATGTTTACTACTGAGTATGGTGTGAACGATGTTCATGAACGCCTTGTGTGATTATGTGAGGTTGACTTGCGAGTGACGTCACTTAATCACAAGGCGGTTGTACACGCGCTCAGATGCGGTCTGGGGCGTGACAATGGGAGGATGAAACAGACTCTTGCTTGCAAAAAGGGCATTGGGAGGGGGAAATGTAGATCTGAAATTTGGGAAGATTTTCAGGAAGAGGTAGAATATTATGGAAAAGCTTCCACATGAAAAGCTTAATGGGCAAGAATTGCTTAGGATGCCAAATGTGTGAGTTTGAGAAAGTTACTAACTTTGTTTCCCTAATTTCATGATAACCAGAGGAAAGTGAGAAATTCCCATCCTGTGAGGGGGTCCAAATGAAATTTTCATGATGCTGCTCTACAAAACTTAAACCAAGGGCATGAGTCTGACAAATACGCCTCCAGATAGGAGAATCAGGTATTTTGGCTATCATATTTTCACCTCTTTGATATCTGGCATGCATATAATTAGCCCAAAGAGTACTGTTTTGGATCCAAGTCCACCAGATTTTAAAAGAAAAAGCAATCTGCAAATCCTGAAAGGATCTATGACCCAAACCTCCCTCATCATAAGGAAACCATAATTTCTTCCAACCTTTCCAGTGAAATCTCTTAGAGGAGGCAGTAGAATTCCAAAAGAAAGAGGCCATCTTTTTCCAAGATGCTAACCACTGAGTTAGGAATCTTAGAAACAACAAGGGTATGTATAGGAATAGAAGCTAGCACATGTTTCATAAGAATAAGCCTGCCACTTTGAGATAAAACCTTCTTCTTCCAAGGAGACAATTTCTTATCAAAAGATGATATGAGATCTTTACAATATCTCAATCTGTTAATTCCCTGATGGAGATAAACACCAAGATATTTGATTGGTAGCTTAGAACACTTCATGTTAAGCAAATTCTCTATAGGTTCAATTCTGTGATCAGCAAATTTTTTACCAATAATAATTTGGCTTTTATTGTAGTTCACAGCTTGACCTGAAGCTTGCTGATAAGTGTTCAGAAAGTTGCTGAAGTTTAACAAAGTTCTGGCATCACCATTCATGAAAAGTAGCAAGTCATCATCATATCCTAGATGAGTGATCAGTGGGGCACCTCTACTAACCATGTATGGAGATATCTTTCATGCCCTAACCAATCTATTAAGACCTCTGGAAAAGACTTCTGAAGTTAAAATAAAGAGGTAAGGGGAGAGATGATCTCCTTGTTTAACACCCCTTGTAGGTTTGAAAAAACCATGAGAAAAGCCATTCACCATAACAGACATGTAAGTAGCCTGTAGATTATTCATGACAATATGAATGAATTTAGTTGAGAACCCAAACCTGAATATAATATTTTCCAGAAAAGTCCAGGAGACCCTATCAAATGCCTTTGCCATATCTAATTTGATAGCAATATTCCTACCTCTTACTTTTTTATCCAAAGTATGGATTAATTCCTGAGCAAGTAGAATATGACCACTAATATCTCTGTTATGTAAGAAACCAGCTTGCTCAGGAGAAATGATTTTGGGCAAAATCAGACTGAGTCTAGTTGTTAAAACTCTAGTGCACACCTTGCTTCTAAAAGTTGAGAGGCATATAGGCCTGTAATCAGTGAAGTCAGCAGGCCTATGTTCTTTGGGAATAAGGATAATAGACGTACCGCCCATAGCTTGAGGAATAGGAGTACATAAGAAAAAATCTTGAAATGCTGAGACCACATCTGCTTTGACAACCTCCCAACAGTTTCTGAAAAATTTCCCATTGAATCCATCTGGACCTGCAGCATTAGGATTAAGTCCCCACACAACCTCTTTAACTTCTTCTTCATTCGGAAGCAATAATAAATTTTCATTGTCTTCTAGGGTAGCTAACTGAGGAATGCAGTTGAGGACTTGATCAGATAATTCCTCAGAAGTAGGATCTCCATGGGCTGAGAAAAATGTCTTGAAATAGAAAGTAGCAGCTTCACCAATTTGCTGACTGTCTGTAACCCAGGTACCATCTTCTTTTTGAATAGAAGCAATGTGATGTCTCTAGTGTCTCCCTTTAACAAAATTATGAAATGTTTTAGTATTGTTGTCCCCTCCTTTGAGCCATTTAATTCTGGCCTTTTGTTTCCAAAATTTTTTCTCCTGTTTGTAGGCCAGAATTAATTCAGCTTGAGCTTTGTGCCATTTAGATCTGTTAAGATCATCTGAAATGTTCTCAAACTCCTTTTCAGCCTCTTCAACTCTTGCTTCACAGGCAATTACTTTTTCAAAGATGTTGCCAAACACTATTGAATTTCATTCCTTAAGGTCTTTTTTGAGATGTTTGAGCTTGAGAAAAAGACCTCTCATACCCATACCAAAAGAATTAGCTTTCCAGCTTTTAGAGATCAAGTCTTTAAAGTTAGGATGAGTAATCCACATATTTTGGAACCTAAAAGGTTTAGGTCATGTGATAGACTGAAACTGACATTTAATAACAATAGGTGAATGATCAGAACTGGATTTATTAAGATGTTTAATAAAGATTCCCCCAAACAGGTCATAAAGAGTTTGATTTATAAGAATTCTGTCAAGTCTCCTCCAAACTCTACCATTACTCCTCATACCAGTCCAAGTAAACTGACTCCCAACCCATGGTAGATCAATAAAATCACAATGAGTATTGCAGTTGTTAAAATCTTCCATACTCTCATGGATGGGAATGGATTTACCTTTATGTTCTTCATAGCTAGCAATTGCATTAAAATCCCCTCCAACTAGCCAAGGCCCCCGACCCTCCCCCTAGTAAATAGTTTATATATACAATACTTTATACTTTATACATAAATATGAAGAAAATACTTTATACAATACTTTATAATATGTTAGTCCCCCGACCCCCCTAGTAAATAGTTTTGTAGTTCATATTCTCTCCATTTGCATATGTAATTGCAGATTATTGTAGTTGATTTTGCTTTGATTATATGTCTCATAAGGAGAGGTGTACAGTTCCTTTATATGCTTAAAATTCTTGTTTCATTTTTGATTCCTTTGGCTAATTAATTAAGTTTGTAATAATTTTAATCCATGTGTGTTTTTATGATTATATTTTTTTGATCAAGGATGACCGGTAGAAGGATCGAAGGAAAAGATTTGTATAAATTGACTCAAATGCGACATTTAGCTATAGCGAAAGTCATATGCATTGTTATGTATTGGGTTGGATTGCGAAGACGGAACAATGTGAATCGTGTAATGTCATTGGAGGGAGAAAGGGTAAGGACTATACTGTTCGATGGGGTTGTAACTCATGATTCAGGACCTGGTATTGTACGATTGAGCGCAGAAGCATTCATGGGACTTTGTAATATATTAGTTAGATATGGTGGTCTTCGACCCACAATACGAGTTAACGTTGAAGAACAGGTAGCAAAATCCCTATATGTGTTGGCACATGGTGTGACCAATCAGGCGTTACGTTTCTTTTTTGATCAGTCTAAAGAAACAAATAGTCGTCATTTTCATAACATCTTGAGAGCTATATTAGAAGTGGAAGACAGATTTCTCATACAACCAAATGGATATGAAGTTCCTGGAGAAATATTCAGCAACTCTCGATACTATCCTTTTTTAAGGTGATTTTTATTTTATTTGAACAATATATATAGCACTACTACAAAATCAAACTACTCAATTTAATTTACAATGTCAGGATTGTGTTGGGGCTATTGATGGAACACACATTCATGTAAAAGTGTCTCCTAATGAAGCTCCTAGATATCGTGGTAGAAAAGAAAAACCTACAGTAAATGTTTTGGCTGCATGCTCATTTGATTTGAAATTCACATATGTGTTAGCTGGATGGGAGGGTACGACATCTGACTCTAGAATAATCAAAGATGCATTAACAAGAGAATATCCTCTAAAAGTCCCGGAAGGTATTTAATTATAAAGTATAACTTTGTGTAAGTGTATTTTAAGTAATTTAAAATATAAAAATTTATATGATCATTTTATATTATTTTAGGAAAATACTATCTTGTTGATGCGGGATTCATGTTGAAACGTTGTCTTATAACACCATATCGAGGACAACGTTATCACTTGAAAGAGTACTCCCGCTGCAACGTGCCACAAAACGCACGGGAACTATTCAATCTTCGACATGCAGCGTTAAGGAATGCGATTGAGCGTGCCTCCAGAAGAGCGACATTGTAGTGGTGATGGTGACGGCTCCAGTATAGGAGAAGCGATTAGAGATTCCATAGCCGCATCTAAGTGGGCTGATTACAATATGTAAAACATGAATAGTTATGTCCCAAACTATGTGTTTTTGTAATTTTTTTTTTGAACCATTGAATTAACTGCTAGTGTAATAACTTTTGTCATTTTAATTTGAGTTTTTATTTACGAATTATGCCTATTCATATTATAATATATTAGTGTGCTTGTATTTGTGAAGAATGGCTCCTAGAAGGAAAACTTTGGATGACAACAGTTAAGGTGCAAGTAAGTCAACTAGCTCATTAAATTGGTCTAAGTCCATGGATGATGCTCTTATTGATGCATATTTGAATCAAGATACTCTAGGCAATAGAGTGGGTGGAACTTTCACTACACACGCTTATGATAATATCCTTAAGGAACTGAAAGAAAAGTTTCCTGATAAACCGATTGACAAGGATAAGATTCAAAATCGGATGAAGAATATCAAAAGGATTTGGTATCCATGTTACGACTTATTCAAATATGGTGCTAGTGGCTTTGGTTGGAATCCCGCTACGGAAATGTTCACTGCTAAACCTGAAGTTTGGCAACGCTTGATTGAGGTATATTAAAAGTATTTTTTTTAAGTTTTGTATGTATGGATATGTTGTTTATGTGAAAAATATTTTTTTAGGTGAAACCAGAAGCTGCAGAATGGAAAAATAAGCTTTTGTTGAAGAGAGCGAAGTTTACACATCATTGGATAATAGAGGGAGTTCATCGTTCAAATATTGTTCAACCATTCTGTGATTCTCTGCTTGTATTATATTATATGATTGTTGATTGATAAAGGGACTAATAGGCCTAAAAAAGTTGATGCTATTTTTATTGGTTATGTTGAACATTCTTATGCATTGAGATTTTTGGTTATTAAATCTGAAATTTCTGGCATAGATGTTAATACTATTATAGAATTTCGTGATGCTACTTTCTTTGAAAATGTTTTCCCAATGAAAACGGGTGTGCCCCAAAATATTTCTTTTAAAAATCAAGAAACCACATTTAATTCAATTCGTGATCAAGTGGAAAAGATGACAAATGTGGGTGTAGAATCTAGTAGTACTAGTCACGCTAGTTTTGAATCAAATGAACTAGATGATCCCAAAAGGAGCAAACGGGCTAGGATCAGAGAAATGGTGCTAAATAGGAGCTTAAGTTCTCTTATGTAAATATATAAGACCTTGACTTTTTTTACTCCTAAATAGGACCTAATTTTCCGTGTCTACCATATTTGCCCTTAAGTCTTTATTTTTGCTTCTCACTGTGACCGTGTCAACAAATTCTCACGCAAGGCATCTCAATCTCTTCCAGGGCAGAGGAGCTTGGCCGGTGATGCAAGCAAGACGGTACGGCGACGCGCCAGTGGCAGTGCAGCGGCTGGACGACACGGCGACATAGCGGCTGCGAGTCTGCGACGGAAGGCAGTGGCGGATCTGCCAGGGGGCTGGTGCCCCTGCTTCGGCCATCAAGCTAGGGTATAGGCTATGGTTGTGGATCCGGAGAAATGACGAAGTAGCAGGAGTTCTTGGTCTGAAAATAGCGCGAGTCGGAACGATGGGTTCCAACTATGGAAAGATGATGCAAAATTGTGGTCGAAACCATGGATTCCGACTGAAGTAGTAAATTAATTGGAAGAGTAGCGACTAGCGACTACTACTATGTGGCTTCAAAAGTTGTAAAATAATTAGTGGGTGGAGATGAACAATTTCGAAACAATTGCTACACATTAATTTTAGTTGTAAAGTAGAACAACGCATTTTAATAAAACTGACAATAATTTTGGCATTAGTTATAACAATGTCATTTTCATAATGATTGACATTCTTATGACATTGTTATTGACATTCTTATGACATTATCATTGACATTGTTATAACGTTGTCATTGACATTCTTATGACATTGTCATTGACATTCTTATGACATTGTGACTCACATTGTTTTCTATTGACATTTTTATGACTTTGTCATTGACATTCTTACGACATTATCATTGACATTGTTTTCTATAGACATTCTTATGACATTGTCATTGACATTCTTATGACATTGTCACTGACATTGTTTTCTATTGACATTTTTATGACTTTGTCATTGACATTCTTACGACATTATCATTGACATTGTTTTCTATAGACATTCTTATGACATTTTCTTAAACTGATGACATTTTTATATATTTTTATGACATTGTCATTGGGTACAAATTAAAACCAGTTGCGGGAGTAGTGGAATACACAAAAAAGAAAAATTGAATTGTGAAGAAAAGGAGAATAGCTAAAGTAGAAATTGATTCCACAGAGAGCACTATGTCGCAGGAAACACCAGGCTGAGGATCTCTGGAAATAAAGACATCATTATTAATATTGATATTAGTGACATTGTTTATCATATTATTATCAATAAAAAAAATTCAAAATGAATAATGATATAACCTCTGATCTAGAGAATTGAATTCATTAAATGAATTCATAAAATTGAAATAAGAAATTATAAAAGCAAAATAATAGTACTGTATCTAGAAATCGAAAAGTAAAACAAACATAAAAAGCTACAGACGAAACGTTGTCTCATAGCATGGAGGAAGAAGAACCCTAGGGAGGCCGGAGTGCTTAAGACTGGGAAAGAGAAGATGTGCAGTAAAAAGCGGCAATGCGATGCTGCGGAGGCGACGCGAAGTGGCATCGGCAACTTGGCGGTGAGGTGCTGTAACGGTGATGATATTCCGTTGCGGCGAAGTCAATCCAAGGAGGTCGGTTAAAAGAAGCAGTGGCCACGAAATTGATGTCGAATAAGGCGTGGGGTTAGTTTTGTCCTTTCGCGTAGATAGTAGTCCTATGTACGGTTTAAAAAAGTTCGGCTCCTATTTAGAGTCCAGCTCTATGTTTTACTCTTGTTTATGTCTTTATCCCCTAGGATTACTAAGGAATTTGGAAGTGATTTTATCATTTACAATATTGAAGGTGACTAGTTTCCTTTAGAGATGCAATGGCTATATCTGAAGCCTTGCATTGGAAGGATGCCAATAAAAGATAAATGGACTCAATTGTTCAAAATGGAACATGGAAGCTCGTTGATCTTCCTCCCGGGTGTATTAGTAAATGGATGTAAATGGATTTTTAAGAAGAAATTAAAACCAGATGAAACCATTGATAAATATAAGGCCATATTAGTTGCTAAGGGTTACAAACAAAAAGAAGGTATTGCTTTTTTCGATACATATGCTCCGGTTGCAAGAATGACCACAACAAGAATGCTTATAGCATTGGCCTCCGTATATTGTCTTAAAATTCATCAAATGGATGTTAAGATAGTCTTTCTTTATGGTGACCTTGAAGAAGAAATTTATATGGATCAGCCTGAGGGATTTGTGGCAAAAGGCAATGAGAGAAAAGTTTGTAAATTAGTTAAGTCTTTATATGGACTTAAGCAAGCCCCTGAGCAATAGAACGAAAAATTCGATAAAATAATTTTTTCGTTTGGATTTACTCTTATAGATGCTGATCAAAGTGTTTATTATAAATGTAAAGGTGATATTAGTATTATTTTATGCCTATATGTTGATGATATATTACTATTTGACATTAATGATAATACTATTTTTGAGACTAAGTCATTTTTGTAAACAAAGTTCGAAATGAAGGATATGAGGGTGGCTGAAGTAATTCTTGGGCTAAAGTTGACTAGATCAACTGGAGGAATTTATATTTCTCAGTCGCATTATATTGAAAAAATAATTGAGGGATTTGGATTTAAAAATAGTAGAATTGCTAAAACACCCTATGATCCTTCAATAGCTTTGTATAAAAATGAAAGTGATGTTCATGTGTCTCAATTAAGATATTCTCAGATGATTGGTAGCTTGGGTTACTTAGCTAACTGTACTAGACCTGATATTGCATTTTCTGTGTCTAAGTTGAGTTGGTACACATACACTTGTCCAAATAGAACTCATTGGGAGACCTTGGATAGAGTATTTAGATACTTAAAAGGAACAATTTCCTTGTGTTTGCATTACGGTAAATATCCTCCTGTTCTTGAAGGATATAGTGATGCAAGCTGGATAGCTAAGAATTCTGGGAGTTATGGATGTACCGGTTATGTGTTTACGTTTGGTGCTGGGGCTGTTGCTTGGAAGTCCACTAAACAAACGATACTTTCTCGGTCTACTTTTGAGGCTGAATTATGTGCATTGGATACTACAGGAATTACGGCTGAATGGTTTATGGGACTAATGTCTGAGTTACCTATATTCAGCAAGCCAATTCCACCTATTTGTTTGCATTGTGATAGTATGAGTATAGTCAAAAGACTAGGAGACATATTCAAGTTAGATTAAAAACTATAAGGAAATTTGTGTCTGAAGGGGTGTTTGTTGTTGATTTTATCGGATCCAAAGATAATACAGCAGACCCTTTAATAAAAGGACTTGATTTAAATCAAGTGATAAAATCCAGGTTAGGAATGGGATTGAAACCTACTAATTATTCAACTATGGTAGCAACCCAACCTATCTGAGTGGAGATCCCATAAATTAGGTTCAATGTGGTATAAACAAATCGTAGTGTGAATTGTGCATCTCATTAAAATATTTTATAAGTTCTATACCTTGATAAGCCTGAGAGATGCTGAAATTGCTAAGTAAGTAAGAGTTTAAGGCTCTGAATGGGCTCGAACTTTAAAGGAGAGTGTTAGCAATGCACTCTTGGAGATGCCCAACTATGAGAATGTTATTGTGTGGTCGCAATTAGAGAATAGGGGTTAATTCTCGATGACATTCTTGAGACAGGATCGGGATGCAAGGCCGTAAAGCGTCAATCCTATAGATCGTTGCCATTGCAATTAGTGTGTTGCTTTTATCCTACACAAACACTATCAAGGTTCGAGTTCAAGAACTTAGTTCACTCAATTACTGTGGGGGTTAGGTGTAAAAGCTTAGAAGTTGGTTCAAACCGGAAGGTACCATATTCGAAAGCACACTATGTCTGTTAGAGTCTAGTCTACAACTATGAATTTGTGGGGGATTGTTGGAAAAATGATGATATAAATGTTATTGCTTTTTTGTTCTCTTGTTGAGTACTAAAATAATACTTGGTATGTGTAGAATATGAATTCAGTGTGGCTTATTATACATCAAAGAACAATTTTTTATGTTTGGACTTATATCATTTAATGATTAAAATCCATAGTTGTAATGATTGTAAAAGCGATGTATTATGAACTTTTGTTCTATTTTAAAATGATTGGTCTTCTTTAGATGTTATATGATAAAATCTATTTATCAACATTGTTTAAGTATCATGTAAAGTGACTAAGAAATTACCCCATCAGAATCATTTATTTGCACACACAAAATTAAATGATCGGCGGATAATGATGTTTGGGCTGTAATTTCAAGCTAGTGGACCATCTGATTTTAGAACAAATATTCTATTACTCCGTATGTTTTATTTATCATTTTTTATAATGATAAATAAGCAGTACGTGTTGCACTTAAGCTTATTTCGGAAGTTTGAAAATTGAAATTTTGAATTGCCCGATGTATAAGCTTTGAAGCTTGGTCAATATTGTTTGTGGATCCTAATTTTTTGGATGGTGGATGCACAATGATACTGATACAACTGCACTCCATTTAAAAAAAACACACGCATGCTCTCTTCCCGGCGACTCTCCTACGTGAATACAAATTCACTTTAATACTGTTACCCATTTGACTTATGTATTGAAGCACCAAGGAGAATAGAAAATACTTCATTTCTTTCTTTCATTCATTGTTCAAGAGCATAATCAATCCATAGTATCCTCATGAAGTTATCATCTATTTAAGGAGTCAACGGCATATTGGGCAACGGTCGAAAGTTTCAGTCAAGGTAGCTACAAGTCTGAAACGGAGTAGGATTATCCTGGAAGCGAGTTAGCCAGTCCCGTTCGAGTATACGAGGGCTATCTTTCTTCAAGGTTAGTCCGGTCAACGGACGATCTTACGCTAAGTTTTTCATTCTCTACTTTTACATTAATATTTTATTTCTAATTATTATTTCTTTATTTGTTCTTGCATTTGGTGGTTTGTCCGGTGATTTAAGATTAAACTCAGGATTTTATCTGACTAAACTTGCATTTATTAATACCATTTTTCTAACACTCATCATCTTGGATGCACCAGAAAGCAACACTGCATATTCTGGAAACCTCTTCCGGAGCTGCAACTCTATCAAGCCTCGGGTCCACCGGGCAGAGAATATCGCCTCCTTCACGTATGACTCGGGCAGCGCAACAAGGGAAGAATTTCACTTTTCCATCTCTGGAATGGTCAGAGTTCCGGGTTCCAGATAAGAGTTCAAAGAGCAACATTCCATAACTGTAAACATCTGCTTTAGGAGTGATGACCACTCCGGCTATCCATTCTGGCGCAAGGTAACCTCTGGTTCCTCTCATTGTAGTCAGCACTCTACTGAAGTCACGCCCACCTAGCTTTGCAAGACCGAAATCTGCAATTTAGGACACATTTCAGAATCAAGAAGAATGTTTTCAGGCTTTATGTCGCGGTGTATGATGCAATCCCTGCACTTCTCATGCAGATAACTCAATCCTCTTGCTATCCCTAACGTGATCTGGTACCTGCAACAATATTACATGGGTCATGCTTGGTGTACACAAGATGTACACAAAATGTGTACATTGCCTGTGTACACGGGCAATTGGGTATCAAATTCTGCCCTTTTCTAAATGAATTGCCTGTGTACACAACAACTAGGGGGATTTTGTGTACAGTTTGTGTACAACTCA